CCGAGAAATTTGTAATTTTTTTGATAGAGTGAGAGTATTTTGCTCTAACTCATAAAATAAAGTGGTGGGGGAAGGTTAAACTTGCTTTTATTAAAATAAGGATAACTTTGGTTTGGGTTAACCGATTTAAACAAACTAGGGCTCGTTTAAAAGAGCTTTTCTTCCTTAATAATCTCCAGTATAAATTTTGTTTCCATCATTTTTTTCGTGGTAGCTAGAGGGCGCTGTTTGACAACAGATATTGCGCTTTTGCATAAAAAAAATAAATAGGAGGCTATATTTCTCTTTGCACAATTAAATAGAGCACAAAATTTCCAAAATATCAGCGCAGACCGCAATTTTCTATCTCGTCTCTAAACGGAGATATTAAGAGAACAAATTATGTTAGGCTATCGCTTAGGATTATATGTAAACTGTTGAAGAAAAAATATTTTTACGTATACATAAAAATCTATATTTCACATACTGGCATATTTTTAGATTTTGCCTATCTCCAGCTTCGCCATTCACCCTATTATATAAAACACAAAATAACTAGTGAACTTATACTTACAGAACCCAAACCAAAGACACATTCAACAAAGTGTTGGGCCAGTTTGATTCCCTGAAGCATAGATCCCTATAAAATTTAAATATTTGATTTATAATATCCTTAGTCTAACAAAACATTCTTTCATCTCCTTCTCAATTGTGTTCGAAGAAAGAGTGGTTCCTTCTGAAGAACCCTTGGAAAGACCTGTTTGACAACTGGGTTCTGAAGTCTCCAGTATGTTGGACATTATTAAAGCTAAATTAATATTTAGACGGAATTATTATACGGATAGAACGGATAAATATAAAAAAATGGAAACAAAAAAAAATATCTGAAAGTGAAGATGAGGAAACAGAGTTTGTGCCAGCGGATGATGACCTAGATTCAGATGATATTCCTGGACAGAAGAAACCAGATGACTTAGATGCTGAGTGCATATTTTGTGAAGGAAAATTTTCAGAAGACCGCAAAGGTGAACTCTGGATTCAATGCTTAATGTGCAACATGTGGGGACATGTTGACTGTGCGGATACCGATATGGATGAATACATTTGTGATTTTTGCCGTACTGTATGAGAATGTAACCTTTTTGTTACTTTTTGTTTTTTTTTGTTTAATATAATGCGTAATTAAACGTTAAATTTTATTTTTTAATTTTTTTTCAGAGTAGCCCATAATTGTATCACTTTTGTGGTGAATGGTTTTTTGGTATCCCTAATGAATAAAATTAAAATCTGAGAAAGTATTGACAATAAAATAGCAAGCAGTTAATATAACGTTAGGTTGGTTTTGTTTGCATAAAGGAGGGTCCACATGTAGTAACATGTTATATAACATTGCTATTTAACAAGCTACATATCACATGTTAAAATACCGGGAGCCGTCCACATTATAGTTTTCGTAAACATGAATCGTTTTGGCAAAAAAGAGGTTCAGCTTGCAGCAGCGGCGTGCGTAATTTGTTTTGAAGAAAGAGAAAGAAAGTCGAGAAAAAAACAGTTTTGAGTCCGCCATAGCCTACAAGCAAGATCTAGATATAGTTGAACTCAATTAGCTTACCTTTTCAATACCTGCCGCGGCTGTTTCTGGTGGTGTGTTTCTGTTTTAACATTAATAACTTAAAAGCAAACCATTTCCATCCACTTTATCTAAACCAGTACCTGATTTGTATTTCTTTTGTTCTCTCTGGAACTGGCCTATTAGACAACGCATTTTTTCTCAACTTTTCTCTTTACATTCAAATACATACTTTTTGCAATTTTTAACCATGCATCATGCTTTTTTATTTCACTTTAAATGAGGGACTACGGATATCCCATAACACTGTATGATCTCTATACAACTTAATTAGTTGACAAGTCTGCTCTTGGCTTTACCCCATTAATAATATAAGAACCATACACGATCGAAAAAAAAATGTCAGCGATAGCTATGAAATGAAGATCGCTGACATATTATATGGAAAATTATATGGGGAATGTCATCGATCGTCATGTCCAAGCCAACTGGATAGAGGCCGACTGGACACAGTTTTTTTTTCGATCATACGGACGTTGTCATTGACCATACGGTATATTATTAACCAGTATATAAACAAACCAATATCAGCTCACCACACTAAGATTCTGTCGCGCACGTCCCTGAAAATATGAGCGGCTAAACTAGAAATTTAGCAAGTCTCGACGCATTGTTTCATGTTACAATAGCAGTGTTGCACATCTTTTGATCTTTACCGACTACAAAAGGATAACATCTAGCAAGTTATATAGCAGCGAAATTTGCTAAATATGACTAAAAAATATGTAAAATGTTATATAACTTTGCTATATAGCAACTCTGGACCGTCCTTAAGAAAAAATATAAAAGTGCCAGATACATAAAAAATAAGCAAAATATGGTAAAAGAAAAAATGGTAGCCCATATTTGTACCTTCTCCTCTATCAAAATGCCAGCAAGTCGACTTGAAATGAATAATATAAAACAAAAAGTTTATAGTATTGCTAGATCCTAACTATAGGTCCTCTCGATTGCACACATATAAAAATAATTTCGCCAGGTAATAATTATGATAAAATAACAAAGTTCTCCTTATATTATTATTTTTAAAGGTGGAGAGAATGCTTACTGTTACAGGAACAGAAATGTGCTTTCATTAAATGTGTTTTCATTAAATGTGCGAGTAAGTCTATAAAATGAATAACTTTGAATTTTGACCGTTATTTTTTACCAACATGGCAAATATAAAATCCCTCTATCAAAAAAGTTACTGATATTCTGTAAATTGTGTGCCTGAATGAATCAGATAGGTAACTCTTTTTACTTTCGTGAAATAGAAAAGGAAAATAATAAAACGGGCAACGGCCCAGCTACGTCGAAACACCGGTTCCCATTAGAACACCGAAGTTAAGCGACGTAAGGCGATGCTAGTTGATGGACGGGTGACCGGTTCGAAACTTTGCATCGTGCTGTTGTCCAAGGGATAAGTGTAAAATCTATTGATACACACTGCTCATTCACGCCGGTTCGAGGCCGGATGAGATCGGATATCTCGTGAGTAAGAGTTAACTTAGACACTACCTAAGTCGGTAGACCATTGACCATGATATGGCCGAGGACCGCGGTTCGGATTCCGCGTAAACAAAGTAGGTCCCGTCCAGTTTAGCCATTGCAGCAGAAAGGAAACGTTAACTTGAACCTCACACACACACACAAAATAATAAAACAAGTGACAGTTCTTCCTCTTCTTCCCAAAATCAACACGAAATGTCATAATTGTCAAAAGTAAAATGTCATCAGCTTTTGACATTTCTAAATATCAGAGACGTATTGAAGGTTAATTGCCGCATTTTGCAGTTATTTTCCATGAAAATAGAGTTTTTCTTAGTGTTTCTGGTGTTTTTCTTGCGTTTTCCCCAATTTATGGACCTAACTAATTGTATTTTGTTGATTTTATAGCTTACAGTGTTCTCCTGGATTAAGTTTGTGGTGTTTGTGTATATTGTTTAGGGACTTTGTTAAGACTTTCATTTGTTGAGAGTTTCGTCATATTCATACGTAAGTAGAATTTTACGAATGCTATTACATGTTAGTATAATGTAGTCGTTATAAATTTTAGCTTTAATAATGTCCAACATACTGGAGAGTTCAGAACCCAGTTGTCAAACAGGTCTTTCAGAAGGAACCACTTTTTCTTCGAACACAATTGAGAAGGAGATACACTCTGGCACTCTGGTTGATTTGACTGGCCCAACACTTTGTTGAATGTGTTTTTAAGCATTTTCAAACAGAACACCCCGACAAAAATCCCATAACTGTAAGTTCACTAGTTATTTTGTGTTTTATATAATAGGATGAATGACGTAGCTGGAGGCAAAATCTAAAAATATGCCAGTATGTGGAATATAGATTTTTATGTGTTCGTAAAAATATTTTCTTTCAACAGTTTATAAATATGTCTATTATAAATAAAAATCATATATTATTGGCAAGTATTCAGTTTGATGTGAGTCGATCAAACCTGATCCTAATGTGGCTATTAATCTATGGTGTTCTACTTGCTTCAAAGGTTTTCTTGCCGCGATCTTTGCAGTAGTGTCAAAAACTATATACGAAATCCAAAATTTTTAATAGTCACTAAAATATGGCAGTAATCACACTGAATATCACTGAAATGTTTAGCTTTGAATGTATCAGAGAAAAGCAACAACTTTTCTTAAAAGCAATTTTATGAATGCATTGTTTTTTCTTTAAAAAATAATATATTTTATTGAAGGAAACTGCCATGGTGTTGAAAATTAGCGCCACTACAGATCCTAAACTGCTGGATCCAATTAAAAAGAAGAGGAAGAAGTCGCAGACAGATTATTTAAGAGAAAGCATTAAGGTGGAAATACAATTAGAAGTGTACAAAATATACCAAGACAGTAAGTTATTAATTGTACCTATAATATTTCAATACTCTTCTCTATTGTAGGTCTTTTTACTCTAAAGAGCAGTTAGAATAATTTTTGACTAATTTTCTGTAACTATTTTCCAATTTTTTTTATCTCGTTATTTTTTTTATCTCGCTATTCGTATTGAATTTCTCGAAGTCTAGGAAGTGATTTGTATTTTTAGAAAAGAATAAAAATATTTTATAGGGCAAGTACATGAATGAATTTTGTTTACAGTTCAAGAGGCAACGCTGCCTTAGATCATGAATAATGTGGTGAATTTGTAAACCATCAAAAAGTTTAAATTAAAACGGATTAAGGACAGACTTAAAAACAGTGAGCAGTGTAACCAGTGATTTAGAAATTATTTCTGTATTTGCTAAAAGGTGAATGTGATATACTCGAAATTTGGTATAATATCTATTAAAAATATACTGCTATAGAAAGAAGGAATTTGAAGAATTTAAACTATTTACCAACAAATTTTAACGCTACATTATACCAGTGTTGCCGCGAGTATTGTCAATGATTAAAATATGGGGCAACAAATCAAATTAGACGACTTATACGCTCTTATAAATACCGTAAACAACAATATCTCATCCAAAATTGATAACGTTAAGATAGATATTGACAGCCTAACAAAAAAAGTGGATAGCCACATAACAGAAATTGAAAAGAAAATCGAAGACTTAGAATCTGAAAATAAGGAGTTAAAAATCCGCATACCCACCATTGAAAGAATACTGAAGAAAAATAATTTAATCTTTTACGGAATACCTGAAGACAATAACGAGAATTTGCTGACAATTATTCTAGAACTAATACAAGGGAAGATAAGGGTTGATCTAAAGCTAGAAGATATATCTGAGTGCTTCAGATTAGGAAAAGCAACAACTGCGAAGCGTCCAGTACTCCTTACACTGATATCAGGTTTAAAAAGAAACCATATATATCACAATAAAACCAATCTCAAGGGAACTGGAATTTACCTAAGTGAAGATTTAATACCAGAAGATAGAACAAATAGACAGAACTTGGTTAAAAAAATGAAAGAAGCTAGGGCACAAAATAGAAACGCTTTCCTAAGAGGCAACTCATTGGTTTTGGATGGTGTTATTTACAACCCCAATGAGACTTTATAGCGGATTATCAACAAAAAGTAGTTAGCTGTGATACTGTAAAAATCACCAAGGAAAATAATACGTTAACGGCGGTAGAGAAAAAACGTAAGGCGACAGAGATCCCTAATCTAGTCGAAGGGACAACAGCGAAGCGCAGTGCTCCATACTCAACACGGTCGAATTCAAACAGCTCGCCTCTACAAAAAAATCCTTAATCGACAAATACTTTAAAGTAATTATTTTGTTTTCTTTGTATTTTTCGTATATTTTGTCTGTCTAACTGTCTAATTTAAAATGAAGAAGTAAACTTATTTCTTTATTGATTCTTATCGTAATATCGTGTTGTATTTACAGTTTTTTATATTTATATTCCCTTTCTATCCTTAATCTTTATCGAATATCGTATATAGATGCATGTCAGACTTGCCCATGTAAACACCAGATCTTTATTGCCAAATTTTGAATCTTACCAGAGCCATTTAGGAACTCAGGACTATGACATTGTAGGGGTGACGGAGACTTGGTTGCGGCCGGAAATTAATGACGCTGTTGTGGATATCAAAGGTTATAATTTTTTTAGTCAAGTACGTGTGGATCGTCGGGGAGGTGGGATTGATTTATATGTTAGACAATATTTTCAGTGTGAAATAATAACTTCATTTTCGGTTGATTACTTGGAGTGCATCTGGGCAAAAATTAAAATCAATAATTGTGAGATTTTGCTGGGCATAATTTACCGCCCCCCGAATTCAAGTACTGCCGAATTTTTTAATCATATGGAAGATTTGTTGTCAACTTTTTACTCTATATACAATAATATAATATGCATGGGAGATTTTAACATAAATATGCTCAATCGGGAGGATAATATGTGTCTGCAATTGGAGTCTGTTTTTGCTGCTTTTGATTTGTCTCAAATTATTACTGAGCCGACACGTATTTCACAGATTTCGTCGGACCTAATAGATCTTATTTTTACTAATATGGAGAATATTACTGATTCGTGTGTCACTGACCCTAACATTGCGGACCATTTTTTAATCTATATTACAATTCAGTTCAGCAACTGCTACTGAACTTATTAGTTTTTTATATAGATCTTTAAGAAATATTAATATGCAATTATTTTTGAACGATCTCGAGCAGTCTCAGTTGTATGAAATAGTCTATATAAATACTATTGATGAAAAAATACATTGTCTTAATTTTACCCTTTTAGAATTATTTAATAAACACGCACCAATTAAACAGTTAAAAAAAAAGAATGGTCAAAGGTATGCTCCGCATGGATAACAGAATGTGAAAACTATGCAGAAATTACGAAATAAAAGCCTAAAAAGATATAAAACTACAAAAAATCCTTCTCATTATCAATACTACAAAGAGCTAAGGAATTATACAACAAATGCAATAAGAACTGAGAAAAGAATTTATTTAAGAACAAAATTTACTAATTGTACTTACAGTGAAAAATGGGAGGAACTTAGGAAACTTAATTTAATAAAACAACGTAATAACACACTACTTGTTGGCCTAAATAATCCTGATGAAATCAATGATTTTTTTGTAAACTCTGTCTCTAGTAATGTGAATCCAAGTGAAGAAATTTTAAATATGTATAAGAATCCTTCAATGAAAAAAATACATGATAATTTTGAATTCACCTTAACAGATGAGGCTGAGGTACATACCTACTCCCTTTTTTCTTTCCTTTTTTCCTTTTAAAACTTGTTAGAAGCTGAATGTCATTCATGATGCCAATTTTGTTTTAGTGTAACTTTTTTTAGTATGTATCGTTGTAGTTTTGTAGTATGTTTTTTAGTTATATTGTAGGTTTCAACAGACTCTCAACTGCTGATTGAGATGTCTGCACTTAAAGGCCTTTTGTTTAACAACATTTCTTTTTGTAGCACAAATACGTATTGTATTTCTATTTTGTTAAACAATAAATTATATTATTATTATTATTATTATTATTAGTTGTCCTGACATGACGTTTTAGCTTGATTATAGGTAACGTGCAGGATTCTAACATTTTGACACTAATGACAGTCACCTTGAAGAGTGTGAATATCGAATGGATTCTACTCCAAATAAGCAGGTTGTTTTAAGGCAACAGTCCCCTGGAGGAGTGTGAACGTCACATGGATATTTATAGGATTTTATTCCAAGTGGCAGGTTGTTTAATTGTTGCAATGTTTGTTGGGATTAGTGTGGGTATGTATGTGCAGATAGATGTGTTAAAAATGTCCTATTATAGACAAGATTAGTCTGACGTCATTGCATTGAATAGGTTGGTAGCACCGTTGACGTTGGCAGTTGATTGTTTCCAAACAAATAATTGTCCTGTGTGTTTTTCATTAAGAAAGTTTTTAATTTAAATTATCAGTAAGTACGAATTATTTTAGACTTTTTAACATTTATTTTATATTCTAGAAAATCTTGGCTTAAAATAGGTGTACAATACTTGTGAGTTTGTTCTTATTTTATATAACTATTTTACAATTTCAAAATTTTGAGGTTATTTAAATCTATGAAACACTTTTAAAATCTGTATTTTACTTATTTTCAGGCCATAATATTGTTGCGGACCCGTGTGGACTCGACCTAACCTAACTATATGTCCCGCCCTCAGATGACCTTAACATCGCATTAAAGAATAGACACCGTAATGATTCATTCGTTCGAGAAGAATCGAGTCCCACTGGAATGGACTAGTACATACGAGAACATTCGAAAACCTTCTCTACGCACCTAACGATCTATGGACTATTCTAGAGTTCTTTACCTGTCGGTATAAAAGCCGGCGGCTGTGGCCTACAGGGGCAGTTATAAATATACAGTTGACGCGCTAAAATTCAAAATAAATTCTTAGTTATAAATCGTTTGTAAATAGTTCTATAAGTCTTTTATCGTTATTGTTTTTGTTAATTAGTGTTAAATAAATAGTGTTTAAATAAATTGTGACTTTCTATCCACACGGAACCGACGAAAAACGTAACAATATGATAGTTTATTCAAAAAGCCATAATATGATAGTTATATAAAAAATACTACTAATTAAAATTAAGCTATCAGTTTAAAACCTTTTCTTTTTTAGATATGGTTATAGGCTTTGTTCCAGAATGTAAACATTACAGTGAAAAGAAACCTTTTTTTTCGGTTCCCAAAAGACCCAGTTCCTCTAAAGTTGTGGATTTCACCTGTGAGGTAGGCTTATCTAACATTAAAAAGTAATAACCCATGTTTAATTTTGAATGATCAAATTTTAGACGTGGAGACAGGAATCCAAGTCCATCTTTTTTGATTTGTTCATGTCACTTTAGCAATGGGGACAAAAAAAATATGCCAACGTTATTTGAACATAATGAAAAGAAGTTATTTTCGTTTCAATCTCCAGAGTAAAAGAAGAAAAGGTGATAATAATAATTACTGTTCATTATTTTTTTCTTCGTGTTTTTAGAAGTTAAAACTTTTACAGGGTACGTAGTGTCACCGAATCTGCAAGTGACAGAACTCAAACTCTTGTATCTACCACCTCTCACACATTTGATGAAAATATACTTATGGACTGTAAACAACTCGGTTCTGAAAAACAACAACCGTCAACAAGTTTTGAATAAAATGCTTTTCCATATTAAATTCAATACCTCAGAATTTACTTCCTCAAGCCACAAAGCTTTTCCAAGTCTGTGGTGCTCTGACAAATTTGCAATTCCCATTAATTTCTGAAGTAGAACACTTGTATAAAATAGAGTAACTTATTTTATTGACAAAAATTTTATTGTTTATACACAGATTGTATATAAAAGATTTGTTTAATACTTATTTTTTATCATATTCATTTTATGATTATGATCTTTGCTTGTGTATATTATTTTTCCCTTTGCTTGTGTCTATTATTTGTCATTTCCCTTCGATGAAAGCTTAACTTTATATTATATTTTTTGTATATCAAAAATTTTCTTAATAGAACGATTTATTTTTGTTTTTAAGCAAATTGAAAATTTAATTTTCCCAAATTTTTTATTTTATAAATATATTACCTAGTTATAATTTGTGTAATATGTGTAAATATGAATAATCAAACTGTTTAACCCTCAGCCAACATGGTAGGTAAGTACTTACATGTTTATAAGACTTCATAAATGAACAAGTTTAAGTGTTTTATATTAATATTATATTATCTACTATTTTAATATTATTATTATGTACTTCTAAATGCTACTAAAAATATGCAAAAAAAAACATATAACCTTACAAGTATTATTATAGGTATACATTAGCTTTATTCGGGTTCGTTTTTGAGAACTGTCCTAGAATCGTTCTCGCACTGCGCAGAACTACTTGCGCAGTGGTTTGAATTCTAGAACTGTTTTTGAACCTTTTAAGGACTATGAACTACTTGATGAAACCCGAACGCTTTGCGAACTATTTTTGGACGAAAGTGAAAGTGACAGAAGCGACAGCGACTTAACCTCACTATTGAAATATGAGGGATGTCCTTAAAATTTGTTTGTTTATTACAAAAAGCAACTTGAGCATCCCAAAAATGGAAAATTACAGAGCAGTTAAAAAAATAAATTTAGTAGTGAATTTTTATTGCGTTGACAGACAGTAATTATTTTCTTTTCAGGGTAATTTTAAGAGGCATATGGCAGTTCAAGAAATTCAAATATACTCTAGCTTTATTTCGTTATAATATGATCAAAATTTAGCTAATGTTCAATTCCTGGAGGATTATACTATTTATTTTCACAGATATAATGATTTGAGAAAGCATTTAAGATAGTGTGTTAGGACAGCATTTATATCATTTGAAAGTAGGTAAGTTAAAATACAACCGTAACAGGATATGTACAATATATAGTTGGGATTTTTGTAGATTGTGATATCTGACTAAAGATAAAGGAACAGAATTTTAATAATTTGTACCCCTAGTTTGTACCTAAGAGTAGTGCATTGGAATGGTCTTGAAATATATCAGGTCCGTACATAAAAAACTGCCATTTATCCTTGAT